TACAATTCAATTTATGTGAAACAAGTAGTCGGTCATATTCGACTTTATAATATCTTACATTATGTATTAAAAAGTTGATTCTAACTGAATTTAATAAAACGGCTTTCTTTTCCTATAATCTGATTTATTTCTATGACTTAGATCACATGGTTAAAGATTTATTTCTATGACGTAGATTTTAACCATTTTAAGTAGACTTCGTCCTTGGGTCAAAAGAAGAGTATGTGCCAAATTTATCTTGCGAAAATTGCAACCTGTAGCGTGCTCACAAGCTTTAGATGGACACACAGACAGACGGACATAGCTAAATCGAATCAGAAAGGAATTCTGGGCAGATTGGTATACTTGAAGGTAGATGTAGGACCAATATTTAGTTGGGTGTTACAAACATCAGTACAAACGCATAATACCCTCCCCTCTATAACGGTGTAGGGTATAATTATAGCTAAATATCAGAAAAATAAATTTTTGGCGAAATTGCGAAATTCTTGATAACGGAGGCCTTGTAGCCCATTGCGATACCCTTAGAATTGCCATTCCCTTATGTTGAGAGAAAGGTTCCCTCCCTAATTTTGTTGACTACTTGCTTCTTGCGTTCTCCGTGAAAACCAGCCGGTGTTTCCAATAAAACCGATCATGTTTACTAGTGACGCATCTCTGAGACAATTCAGATCATGGAAAAGAGCTCAACCAAGATAAAGTAGTTTGTGCTCTTGTAAGGCTGGGCAGTCACATAGAAGGTTCCACTTCTTCTTCGTACAAACACCTTCTACAGTAGCTATTATGTGGGTAGCCCATACGTTCCGAGTTCTTACTAAGAGACAAGGGAGTCCTAGACCTAACCGTTGTCAAAGCCAGAACAATCTCGATATTCTACAAGTGGTGAGGTTGACCATCTGAGTTCCGTCTCACTCAAAGCCCAGACATCTATCAATTTTGATAGGGTCACCAGGGGAGTGTGAATATCCCTTTGCGCAAGGGTTAAGTCTAGGGACGACCCTTTGGTTGCGCATTCATCAGATTTTTCATTTCCCCGGATGCCCTCATGTCCTGGAACTTATATCAACTCAACGTGATATTGTGTCAGTTGTGCCAATGATTGAATAGAATTGATAAGACATTGGAGTTAAGAGCCTTGATTGATGAAAACCTGTTCAAGTATATATGTATGTATAGTCGAATTGTGGTGATTTTGTTCTCGGATTCTTCTCGCTGTATAGATGGCATATCTGCCTCTGCCTGAAGGACCGTGCAGGTGTGAGGTAGTCGAAGAAACAGTAGAAGATTCAATTTTACGGAGAAAATTCCCGATATATTGAGATCACGTCGCCCCTTAGGACAGTGTTCGCGACCCAATCATCCTTTGTCGGTATTCTGGTCTTGAATGACCTATTAAAATTCAGTGTCAATAGTACGTAGTCCGTTTCCTGTCCCATGATTGGCCTACCTATCTTTTGTAGGATCATGCCTTTGTCCGTTCGACTGTTTTAATCGTAGAGCAGATTTAGTAGAAATACATTTGATATATATATCAAAGGGAGGTATATTTAGCATCGTCTCTAGACTAGCCAGAGGGTGGAGCTGAAACAGCCAGTGATTGCAAGACATGCTAATCTTTGTACCTTGTTTAGAATACAGAAGTAAGTCTTGGTATCCGCCGCTCTATACCAAACAAGATCTCCGTAGGTAAAAATAGGTCTTATAACCGCGGTGTACATCCAGTACACAATGTATGGTTTAAGACCCCATCTTTTCCCAAAGGTTTTCTTTCATACATAAGTATGTAGAACGTCTTCTTCAATCAACTGTCAGCGTAACGTTTCCACGTGAGCTTAGAGTCTAAAATTACGCCAAGATATTTGGCTTCGCTTGAGATATTCAGAAGATCAAACCAAAACAATATCAAATCTTCTGTTAAATAATAAACTTTATACAACTCGGTCCTGAATTAGCAACAAAAGCTTATTGCCAGCATTCTCAAACGTATTTATCACATAAAGCTAAAGCTATTTATTTAATTACGAACTCGGCAGGTTATTTAACTTTGTCTCCTCTATTTACATTTATGGCGCAGTTGGTTAAAAAAAAATTGGCCGTAAATTAAGAATCTGACATACTCGTGTTTGCCAAGAATACTATATGCTTATAAAACCCCAATCATATGTACATATATGAAACAAAGTTAACTCACGCTCTCTGGCTGTCAATTGTTATTCAATATTTAATTTATTTATTTTTAATACTTAATTAATAAACACTTTTCACGCCTATCAAATAAATATATCAATATAATTAAATTCTAAAACCAACTCAACTAAACAATGATATTTTAATTAAAATTTATTGAAACAAAACAAAAAAACCCCTTTCCTAAAGATCTTTCAACACTAAGCGCTTATTAAGATAATAACAATCAATATTATCATTTGTAATTAAAAACCATCTTTAAAATTACCACCATCTGGTGTGAAGAAAAAAAAACAACAAATTTCTTTTAGGGGAAACTAATATGAGGTCTGCAAACATACTTCTCGCTTAAAATTGAATATATTCTCACATATTCTTTGTTCTACATGATTGGTAACGTTTTACACGTTAAGTGGGTTAATTAAAAATTTATCAGAAATGAAATTAGTTCGATTACAAAATATGTATGTGTATGTATGTATGTTTGTGAGCATTTATGCCGCTTGGCTGCACAACTCAGTCGCAATGCAGTTAGTGTTGCGCATACGATTCATAACAATTCAATTTAATTCAAAATGCATTAATTTTTATTTTAATCTAAGTTTATATATGTTTAATTGTCTACGTATAGTTATGTTAGTATGTTTGTCAATAGAAAAAATAAGTTATAAAACAGTCCAACAAATTTTTAATCTAGAAATACTTTTTAAATGGTTTAAACATCTCTTGTATTTATTGAGATATCGGTCATTGAAGTTTTTTTTTTTTGTAAAATAAAGGCAATATTGATGTAGCTTAATATATCTCGAAGAGGTATAAAGATATAACAGAGCTTAAATCTTTATTTTAAAGTCGACAAATTTGACTTCCAGATGATATCGGCCATTGTAGTATTTGCCATAAAATAAAAGCATTATTGATTTAGGTTCAAATATCTCTATCTATATTTAGATGAGATATGTATATCTCCCGGGGGCATGTTACCTTGAAGGCCCTTCTTATCTTGGTGGCTTTTCGGGTTATGTTTCAGTTACCTAGTTAGAAACTAGGAGCGCTACAAACCAAAGGATATATTAATAAAATATTAGATTTGAGCTGATAATGAAAAGATTTTGTATGATTTTGATCTCCGATGTACTATCGGATATGTGTATTTGAAAGATGAGAGGGATTGTAAGTGTTTTTTTGAATAATGACGGATATAGAGAACGAAGAACTGTTAATACCTTAATCTTCAATTTATCGGCAATAATCCTTCATGGTTGAGTGTGTTGGAGTTTACAACAGAGGTTAAGTGGTTAAGGAAAGTACTGGGGGAGTCTTTTGATGATGAGAATGCCTATGGGATTGAGCATTCCCCAAAGTTAGTTAGGTAGTTAGTTAGTTGGTTAGTTAGTTAGTTGGTTAGTTAGTTAGTTAGTTAGGTAGTTAGTTAGTTAGGTAGTTGGTTAGTTAGTTAGTTAGTTAGTTAGTTAGTTAGTTAGTTAGTTAGTTAGTTAGTTAGTTAGTTAGTTAGTTAGTTAGTTAGTTAGTTAGTTAGTTAGTTAGTTAGTTAGTTAGTTAGTTAGTTAGTTAGTTAGTTAGTTAGTTAGTTAGTTAGTTAGTTAGTTAGTTAGTTAGTTAGTTAGTTAGTTAGTTAGTTAGTTAGTTAGTTAGTTAGTTAGTTAGTTAGTTAGTTAGTTAGTTAGTTAGTTAGTTAGTTAGTTAGTTAGTTAGTTTGTTTGTTTGTTTGTTTGTTTGTTTGTTTGTTAAACTAAAGTTTCTTCATGCTGCTTCATGCTGCAAAAACTAGAGTTTTTGATTATTTAAAAATTCAGATTCGGATTAAGCGGAGTTTTTGTCCTTGGGTTTCGACTTTTTTTCAAACTTTGTTGACCAATCATCATCATATTTATATCGAGTTTCGTGACGATACCAGTATTTAGAAGTGAATTATGGACGTTCAAGAGGTCTTTGTACCCCCTAGAAAGACGAAATTGAAAATCAAGACTTTTCAAAATTTGTTTCAAATTAGAAAAATTTTTTAACAAAAAAAATTTAAATTCAGCACCATGAAAAAATAACACATTTATGTTTTTTATTTTTTTTTTATTTTTATTTAATTTTTTTTTATAGTTCATATTAAATTTCATGTCATTTAAAATCTGTCAAAATGGCAATCATTTGTTTATCATCTTTTTGACATATTGGTAATGTAACCCATTGAGGTAAAAAGAAAAACATTTGAAAAGATGAATGAATAATAAAAAACATGTATTTTTTTGTGGTTTGGTTAAATTAATTTGATATATATATTTAATATGATTTGCATATAAAATGATTTTTACATATTTCTAAATAACATAACTGACATGTCAACTAGCTGTCAAATTTGACATATTTATATTTTATAAAAAAAAACATTCGGCATTTTAATTTGATTTAATTTATAAAATGTTTAAACAATTTGCATTAAACTGCAGTTGAATACAAAAATTTCATAATTAATTAAATAAGGCATTTGCTTAGAGTTTTGGCAGCTGTCGAAATAAAAGAAAACTAGGCAACTAGACAAAATTTAAATATTTTTCATATTTCAAAGATAAAATCGCTATTGTTTTTTTATAATTAAATTTTAAAGAAAAACATATACCATTAATAAATATTCACGATCATAAAATTTTGATGAATTTTTTACTTGGTATCCTTGAAATAATTTTTTTTATTGTTGTTGTGTTTTATTTGTTTCTCTTTTTTTAACAAAAGTGTCATTTAATTTATTGCAATTTAATTTTAAATATTTTTTATTCATTTGTGTTTTATTTTATTTGTAGATCAATGAAAACGAGTTAAGTGCAATAATCGTTTGTAGGCCATTCTTAAACGAAAAAAAAGTAAGACACACTATATGAACCTGTATTGTATAGAGAAAAATCAGCTAAAAAAAATTCCACCAACTGTAAAAAAAAAGCCTGAGTTAGAACTTATGACTCTGGTTAAAAACTCCTCTTACATATAAAACCACTTTATAAAAGTGTTAAGAAAATGCCAATATTCTGAATGAGATTTTTTTTGTCACCAACAAAATCGTAGTAATAATAACCAAGAAAAACTATTGAAACGTAGCTTTGGAAAGCTTGAAGCTGGGTAAATGTGGTCCAAAAACTAAATAATAAGTTTGTAGTAGAAACAGCTAAGATGAAACCAGATTTAGTTGTTTGTAAAAATTCGTTGTTGTTTTTGTTGTCTACAACGTATAGTATGCTAAACATAAATTAAAACAAAAACACTAGAGTTTGTTTTTTTACCGAAATCAAACGAGTCAACCAGACAAACAAACAAACAAATAAACTGAAAGACAGCCACTGAGGGAACGAGCGTGCGAGTGAGTTGGAGTCACAGCTACAAAAACCACAATAATAATATTAATAACACAAGCAACAGCAACAACAGTAATAGTGGCAGCAGCAGCAGCAGAAAACAAGGTGAGGAGAGGAGACAAGTGTACGAAGTAGAAGTGACCTACAAAGACAGGTTTATGATTTTACTTCGCATTTGCTAAAGCACAGACTAAAGACAGCAAAGAACCACTTTGCTAGACCCAGTTGAGACAAACAACAATAACTGGAAGAAACCGACAATAACAACAGAAAACCAGTCAGCCCAGCTTTAAAATAAGCAGCGTCAAGAGACGTCAGAGCTGGCAACATATTGTGGTAAACAAACCAACAACGTAAAATGGCAACCACAACATTTACAACTATGATACCTACCCCTCAGCCGAAAAAACCGGGACCTCCCGTACCCCCCAGACCACAACAATCAAGTTTATTAAAAACACAACAACGTGATGTATCATCATCACAATCAACATCTTCAACAGCGGCAGCTACAACAGCAAAATCGCAACATTTAATGAGCAAAGTAGGTCTAGAACAACCACAGATTCTTAAAAAACCCATAATAGCAAATGCCAGCAACACCAACACGACAACAGCAACAGCCAATTCTACTTCAGTTACAACAAGTGGCGGTCGCACGGTTATCTACAAATCACCATCATTGAATTTACAAAAACGCCAAGACGAACGTGAGAAACGTAATGAAGCCAGTACACAGACAGCAACAACTGCCATTACCCGAACAACATCGGCAGCGGCTGCAACAACAGCAGCAGCCAACAAAGCTAAATTAGCAAATGGCACGCAGGCACCTAAACCACCGTTAAAATTAAGAAAAGCTCCCGATGTGCCCACAAATTTTAAACCACGCATAACAGCACCTCAACCGGAAGTTAAAGAAACTGATACAAAATCCAACAACAAAAACACTAACACCAACAACAGCCAAGACAACAATATAGTTATTGTTCAATCAGCTCAGGGTGTAGTTACTTTAAATCGCCACCACTCTATGGGTGCTGCTTCGCCTCAAAATAAACCCTCCGCTTTGGCAAAAGATACACGTCTCAGCTTGGGCAAGGCCGATTTCGAAAGAGTGGGTAAGATACAAGTGCAACAATTACAGCCCACTTCCCAACCTCTGCCAAAACCACGTAAAATTGTTAAAGTTCCCGTAGCAACTTTAGATGTGGACGATACCAGTTCCTCCAACACCAACACATCATCTTCTACTTCTTCAAACACTCTACACGTGAATCTCTTTAAACGCTCTAAAACTTCTATAGAAAATTTTACCTCACGTTCGAATATTACCACAGTGAATACCAATACCACGGGCAGCTATTTAAGTGGCAAAACAGTGGAAATCAAAAATAATCTTAAAAATGCCGCCGAACGTTTGTTCTCGGAAATAATGGTGAATCAGCAGAAACAAAATGCTTTGGAATCCAATTTAGCCACCAATACCATTATAACGAAACATGAAAGGGCCATACAGCATCAGGCGGAGCCTATGAAACTGAATAATGCAAATAATGTAACAGTGGTGACCACCTCCAAGGATTATGCGCTTAACAATGACAATAATAATTGTACGCGCATAAATATCACGACCACTGCAGCAGCAGCAGCAGCTGCGAATAATCAAAATACTAACAAATTGTCGGCGGCCGGCAATGTCAGACAAGTGGTATCGGCTTTTAATTCTCCAGAGAAAAAATCGGCTGCATTTCATGAAATGCTAATTTCTGAACTGGCTGCCATGCGCACTAGATCATGTTCTATGGAAAATTTGCAAACAACACAACAACAACAACAATTGTTGCAACCACAGTCGCCTCTGTCGGTTAAAGAATCCGCAACAATTGACAAACAATTTCAAAATTACAAACAATTTAAAACTCTGGAGAATCAATTGAAAGGCAACAACAATAAGCTACAACAAGACCAACAGCTACAACAACAAGATCAACAACAACAACGTTCAACACCACAACAAAAATCCAAACAACATCATCATCACAAACTTCCTGCTAATGATGATGACATTGATGCCGATAATATTGAAGATGCCGATGGTGATGTTGAAGAGGAACTTAAGAAATCTTTAAAAGTTATAACCGCCCAAAATTCACCACGCAAACGTACACCTTCAGGCTGTTCTTCCGACTCCTCGCCCTATGGCACTGAACGTTCTGCACGCATACGCACCTCCGATTGGATTGAGGTGGGCGATAATGGCAAGCAAGTAACGCTCACCAGTTGTCATATTAGTTTGGAGGATTCTGGTTTAGAGGATGAAGAGCGTATGGATGAAATGTCTTCGTCGGGTGTGGGTGATTCGTGGGATAGTGTTAAGGAAGCTGAACAGCATCAGCAGCAACAACAGCAGATTCAGTTGCAGCAACAGGCTAAGAGAAGCCGTAATGTTAAGAGGTAAGTGTGAGAAAAATTACATTTTTTATAATTGATAATTTAAGGGAAGGAAAATTTATCGAGAATTTTCTATAGAAAGAAAATTTATCGAGAATTTTCTATAGAAAGAAAATTTTTGAAAATTTTCTATAGAAAGAAAACTTATCGAAAATTTTCTATAGAAAGAAAATTTATTGAACATTTTCTATAGAAAGAAAATTTATTGAACATTATCTATAGAAAGAAAATTTATCGAAATTTTCTATATAGAAGGAAAATTTATCAAAAATATTCTATATAGAAAGAAAATTTATCGAAAATTTATCGAAAATTTTCTATATAGAAAGAAAATTTATCGAAAATTTTCTATATAGAAAGAAAATTTATCGAAAATTTTCTATATAGAAAGACAATTTATCGAAAATTTTCTATACAGAAAGAAAATTTATCGAAAATTTTCTATACAGAAAGAAAATTTATCGAAAATTTTCTATATAGAAAGAAAATTTATCGAAAATTTTCTATATAGAAAGAAATTTTTCGAAAATTTTCTATATAGAAAGAAATTTATCGAAAATTTTCTATATAGAAAGAAAATTTATCGAAAAATTTCTATATAGGAAGAAAATTTATCGAAAATTTTCTATATAGAAAGAAAATTTATCGAAAATTTTCTATATAGAAAGAAAATTTATCGAAAATTTTCTATATAGAAAGAAAATTTATCGACAATTTTCTATATAGAAAGAAAATTTATCGAAAATTTTCTATAGAAAGAAAATTTATCGAAAATTTTCTATAGAAAGAAAGTTTATCGACAATTTCTATAGAAAGAAAATTTATCGGAAATTTCTATAGAAAGAAAATTTATCGAAAATTTTCTATAGAAAGAAATTTATCGAAAATTTTCTATAGAAAGAAAATTTATCGAAAATTTTCTATAGAAAGAAAATTTATCGAAAATTTTCTATAGAAAGAAAATTTATCGAAATTTCTATAGAAAGAAAATTTATCGAAAATTTTCTATAGAAAGAAAATTTATCGAAAATTTTCTATAGAAAGAAAATTTATCGAAAATTTTCTATAGAAAGAAAATTTATCGAAAATTTTCTATAGAAAGAAAATTTATCGAAAATTTTCTATAGAAAGAAATTTATCGAAAATTTTCTATAGAAAGAAAATTTATCGAAAATTTTCTATAGAAAGAAAATTTATCGAAAATTTTCTATAGAAAGAAAATTTATCGAAAATTTTCTATAGAAAGAAAATTTATCGAAAATTTTCTATAGAAAGAAAATTTATCGAAAATTTTCTATAGAAAGAAAATTTATCGAAAATTTTCTATAGAAAGAAAATTTATCGAAAATTGTCTATAGAAAGAAAATTTATCGAAAATTTTCTATAGAAAGAAAATTTATCGAAAATTTTCTATAGAAAGAAAAATTTATCGAAAATTTTCTATAGAAAGAAAATTTATCGAAAATTTCTATAGAAAGAAAATTTATCGAAAATCTTCTATAGAAGGAAAATTTATGGAAAATCTTCTATAGAAAGAAAATTTATCAAAAATTTTCTATAGAAGGAAAATTTATCGAAAATTTTCTATAGAAAGAAAATTTATCGAAAATCTTCTATAGAAAGAAAATTTATCGAAAATCTTCTATAGAAAGAAAATTTATCGAAAATCTTCTATAGAAAGAAAATTTATCGAAAATCTTCTATAGAAAGAAAATTTATCGAAAATCTTCTATAGAAAGAAAATTTATCGAAAATCTTCTATAGAAAGAAAATTTATCGAAAATTTTCTATAGAAAGAAAATTTATAGAAAATCTTCTATAGAAAGAAAATTTATCGAAAATCTTCTATAGAAAGAAAATTTATCGAAAATCTTCTATAGAAAGAAAATTTATCGAAAATCTTCTATTGAAAGAAAATTTATCGAAAATTTTCTATAGAAGGAAAATTTATGGAAAATTATCTATAAAAAGAAAATTTATGCAAAATTTTCTATAAAAAGAAAATTTATTGAAAATTTTCTATAAAAAGAACATTTATGGAAAATTTTCTATAAATAGACAATATTTTAGGAGTTCAGTTCGAAAATCTATTAATCAGCTTAAACCAAATATTTCCCTTTTTTTCAACTTCATGAAATACGCATTAGAAATACCCACTCACACACACACAAAAGACCAACAAATGCATTTGTTTATTTTTCCTACTTTTCACATGACATTCATATTCCAATTAAAATATTTTAGATTAAAATAAATTCTCATTGCGAGTATAATGTGGGCGTGCGATAAGTTTTGAATGTAAAAATCAAGTATTTATTGCAAAAAAAAGGCAGAAATATTGTCATTTGCTTGTCAACAAAAGAAAATTGCTATTGCTGCAGTAATTAAAAAAATAGCAATCGCTTAAAAATACATTCAAAATGAAACAAAGAAACTTAAAAGAAAAAACAAAAACAAACATCTGATTTGAAGTTAGATGCGAGATACTACATGGCACCACTTTAGACGTAGCCGATCTAAACACAATGTAGTAAATAGTACGATAGAGTAAATTACATATCGTTAACTGAAACTGAAAATGCAAAAAATTTTGAAAATTAAAGGGAAAAATGACAATTTGTTACCAATATGTTCCTATAAGTTGTTCAGATCATGAAATTTTGCAGCAACTTTTGGTGCAACTATGAAAATTTCCTTTACCATTCCCCTTAACATTTCAACTAACCATATTCCCACTATATTATTATTATTATTAAACTTTGAAAACTAAAATAAAAAACTTTAATGAAAATAAAAAAAGTTGACATGCTTCGCATTCCAAGTATGGATAATTATTGTAGTTACAATCCAGCTTTGGAGGTAGTTTGGCAAAATTGTGTGCAACGAGCACAAGTGTATTTGAGTAAATTTACAAAAAAAATAAAAAAAAAATTGTGTAAGTTTGTGACTTTTGTTATGATTTGTAGTCTTTTTGAAAAAAATTTCAAATATTAACTATCCGTTAGTCAAAGAATATTCAGAATTCAAATTATTTCACTTGCTGTGTAGTTTTAACCGTTTGAAGTGTAAGATTGAAAGAAAAAATTAATTTGCAAATTAAAAGAAAAATTTTAATATTTAGTGTATTAACACGAAGGAGTAAAGATTCGAATAAGTTAATTTCTCCAACACTACAGAATTTTAGAGAGTGATTATTATACCCTACACCACTATAGTGGGGAGGGTATTATGCATTTGTGCTGATGTTTGTAACGCCCAAAAATATTGGTCCTACATCCACCTTAAAGTAGAGAATCACTTTCTGAGTCGATTTAACTATGTCCGTCTATCTGTCCGTCCGTCTGTGTGTCCATGTAAACCTTGTGTGCACTTTACAGGTCACAATTTGCAAGATAATTTTATGAATTTTGGTACATACTCTAGTTTTGATCCAAGGTCCATAACCATAACTATTGAAAATAGTTAAAATCAATCCATTATTTCGCATAGCCCCCATACATGATACTGCTGATTTTCTGTAATGATTGGGCCTCATTTGACCCTATCCCCCATAAAAAGCCCCCTTTAGAAAATGACTTTATCACGATGGTTTTGTTATTATTGGAAAATAACAGCGAACTAGCGCCATGTAAAGTTTTAGAATTTGTTTTTTACAATAATTGAAGAATAAGTTATCATTCCCCACCTTTTTTAGGAAATAAATCTATGTATACATGGTTGTCAGATCTTACAACGTTGGCAAAAATTGGCAAAGTACTGACAATGAAAAGTTGTTGTCAAACGAGTAAATTGTCAGTTCAGACAGTTGTAAGAAAACCTTATAATTTCATTGCCAGACAATTTTCAGACAATAAATTTGTCTGTTTCACTGTCACTTTACACTGTTGTCAGTTTGTTGTATGGCAAAAGTTGCCAGATCTTATTTTATTATGCTGCATATGTTCTTTTAATACACCATATTGCCAATAGAAAATTTCACAATGGTTCGGGTGACAGATGCATAAAATTCGATGATTGTTAAATGCCTGACAATATTATTGTTTTACAATATACTGGCAATACTTTTTCTGACGTGGCAAGACAAAAATTGTGTGTTCGAACTGTTGACATTTTCTGAACATTTTTCCGGCATCGTTGTAAGATCTGATAACCGTGTATACATAGCATTAAACAGTTTCTGAAAATGTTTTCTGCCAACGTTGTAAGATCTGACAAAGATCTGAATACATAGCTTAACAACTTATTATATTAAAAGATGTTTTAAAAACCACTACCCTTAGTAACCGTTAGTCACTTACAACTATAATTATTCTTTCTTTTGCAACACTAATGTATCTACATAATGCCTTTTTATGGTTACAGACGACAGCGAGTCTTTTTTTACATTTTTGTTTGAAAAGAAACAAGTAAGAAAGTATAGTCGGGCGTGGCCGACCATATGATACCCTACACCAGTTATGAATATTAAATGTGATTTATTTTCATAATTAAGCATTTATCTTCAATATTCCCTTGTTCCGATACATTTAAGCAATTTATGGATGAAAAACTAATTTTCTGAAAGAGGCTTTATATGGGGGCTAGGGGCAAATATGGACCAAGCCTGGTAAAATTTTTTCAATATATTTATATTTACATAATATTCTATTGGGCTGAATTTCATCGCGATATTTGTGTTTATAAGTTAATTTGGGACATTAAAGTAATTTTCTGAAGGGGACTTTGTATGGGAGCTAGGGTCAAATGGGGCCCGATCTTTATGAAATTTGGCAGGGTCATCAAGACTTCAATAAAAATTAGTTGTGCCGTATTTTATCGATATATCTGTATATTTAGCATAATTATGAGCTCAGAAGCCCTTTTCGGGGGGTTCTGTTCTATGGGTGCTAGGTGAAATAATGGACCGATTTTAACCATTTTCAATAGGCTTCGTCCTTGGGCCAAATCAAACGTACGTGCCAAATTTCATCCAATTATCTTGAAAATTGCGACCTGTACCTTGCGCAC